AGGACCTCCAAATTGAATGGTATCAGAGTTTGGTTTAATTAAATACTTAGGTTTAATTGAATACCTTGGATTTGTTTAGAACTTGGCTGGCCAATGAATTTTAGAACCATGGTGAGATGAGTGATGGGGTTATATAGAGAACGATTTTGATTCATGTTGCCTGAATTTCCTAATCCATTTGATGAGATGGTAAGCTGATTGTTCTTGTTTCCTGCCTTCCTACCTTGTATAGATTCATGAAATTAATCTTGTCTGCCATGTTCTTAAGACCTTGTTTTGAAACTTGGTCATTTTCTGGTAGTCTACACTTGTCTAAACTTGTTACTTGAACAGAATTTTTGTATGCTTTTTTGCCACAATTGTAAAATCTGGGGAGTTGCAGAGATCTTTTGTTATTGATCCTGTTGGTCTCTACAGCATAGTTGGTTGAGAAATTTGTTCTGTTTGTCACATGACCAGTGGAAAATGGGCAAACCCTCTACTTTGTAAGAGATTCAAGGCTATATTAGCAAATGTTGTGTGTTTTCTAGATGCGTTTTAGGAGTTGGATAACTTGGTAATTTCACTACTCATTATCTTTCTGAAAGTCTTATAATGAAGTTTCATTTTTCCATTTGGAGCTTCATGGTCATGTGGCTCATTTTTCTATATTGGTTAATCAAAAATAGTGATCAATTCAATTGAAATTGCCGTCTTTTTATGAAGATTTGTAAGTTGTTATAAAGTTAAACTCTTTATTGTTGCTAATCTCTACATTCTTGATACTTGGAAACTGCTTAAAACTCTTGAAATCCATCTTGAATCTTTCTTGAGATTGCTTTGTACTTGTTCTTGAAACTGAAATCCAAATTGAAATCCTCATTATCTTGATACTTGTCTGAAATTAATTCTTGCACTGTTTTTGGAATCTTATCTTGAACCTTGCTTAAAGTAAAGTTATGTTAGCATCCTTTTCTTGAAAATCAATGGATATTTGGTTTTTGGAATCTATTTTGAATTGTTCTTGAAAACCATTCTAGTCTTGACCCTTGCTCTTGTTCAAATTTTGTATATTGCTCTTGCTCAAATACTGGATATTGCTCTTGCTCAAATACTGCATATTCTGCTAGTTATTGTTTTAGTATACTTGTTCACCTTCTTGATTTTGATTTTTGTTCATATGGACACTGATGCACTAAAATCACCCTAACAAGTGTACTAGTCGCTCTAAGTAATATAATGATGAGAAGAGTGTCGAATCCACGAGAATTGTGTCTAAGTATCAAAATAATTAATCCAAATTTATTTGAACAACCAAAT